TGCTGTACCGATTTTTCGGTGATTTCCACACAAAGGTGGAATATTGGCACTAGATGAAAGGTAGATGAAAGGTAGACCTATTTTCCACAACGTCTCCAAGTTCCATCTTATTCTAACCACTTGTTTGCATGTAACTAACATTTTTCTATATCATGTTGGTTTTTTCTCTTTAATGCTCAGGAGCCCAGGTATAGGGGACACTTAGGTTCAGGGCCTCAGGTCTAGAACTCAGCGGTGATAAGACAGTCCCTGCCATAGGAGGAGAGTGCACAATAAGGAGGACATAGAAACAGGAATTACCGTCTAATGTACATGTAATTTTAAAAATCAGTGCAAAGTACTGAAGTATACCATAGAGGAGGAAGTAATTATTTTAGTCTGTTGGCTATGCAGAGAAAAATTACTCATTATTGACATGCTTTAAGGTGTAGCTCTAATGCCCTTTCTCTACTCTGTGCCCCAACTCTTGGAGGTGAAAGCAATTTCTCCCTCTTCTAAATCTTCATGACGGTCCCTCACCTAAAATATTTCTAGTTCTTAATATAGGTAAGTATGTACAACTCTTGTTGTTCCAACTGAAACATAATTATCTTAAGATGTTTTGTGTTTGTGCATAGGGGCTCCCCAAGTAATATTTAGTAAATGAGGAAGAATCTGGAAAACTATTTATATCTGTTAATAAGTCTACTGAAGAGAGAAGAACCAAGATGGCGGCATAGGTTAACGCCGGAGTTTGCTGCCTCGAACAACCATTTCAAAAATACAACTAAAAGACGGAACGGTCATCACCCAGAACCACAGGAAGGCTGGCTGAGGAGAGATTCTACAACTAGAAGGAAAGAGAATTCCATACCGAGGAGCGCAAGAATCAAGTCAAAGATTTGAAATGCGAAGAAGCAAAAAACACCCAACCGGAAAAGCAAAATGAAAAAAGAATCCGAAAATACGAAGATAGTGTAAGGAGCCTCTGGGACAGCTTCAAGCGTACAAACATCAGAATAATAGGGGTGCCAGAAGATGAGAGACAGCAAGATATTGAAAACCTATTTGAAGAAATAATGGCAGAAAACTTCCCCCACCTGGTGAAAGAAATGGACTTACAGGTCCAAGAAGCACAGAGAACCCCAAACAAAAGGAATCCAAAGAGGACCACACCAAGACACATCATAATTAAAATGCCAAGAGCAAAAGACAAAGAGAGAATCTTAAAAGCAGCAAGAGAAAGAAACTCAGTTACCTACAAGGGAATACCCATACGACTGGCAGCTGATTTCTCAACAGAAACTTTGCAGGCCAGAAGGGAATGGCAAGAAATATTCAAAGTGCTGAATACCAAGAACCTACAACCAAGAATACTTTATCCAGCAAAGCTATCATTCAGAATTGAAGGTCAGATAAAGAGCTTCACAGATAAGGAAAAGCTAAAGGAGTTCATCACCACTAAACCAGTATTATACGAAATGCTGAAAGGTATCCTTTAAGAAGAGGAAGAAGAAGAAAAAGGTAAAGATACAAATTATGAACAACAAACATGCATCTATCAACAAGTGAATCTAAGAATCAAGTGAATAAATAATCTGATGTACAGAATGAACTGGTGATTATAATGAATCAGGGACATAGAAAGGGAATGGACTGACTATTCTTGGCGGGGAAAGGGGAATGGGAGATGCGGGAAGAAACTGGACAAAAATCGTGCACCTATGGATGAGGACAGTGGGTGGGGAGTGAGGGCGGAGGGTGGGGCGGGAACTGGGAGGAGGGGAGTTATGGGGGGAAAAAAAAGAGGAACAAATGTAATAATCTGAACAATAAAGATTTAATTTAAAAAAATAAGTCTACTGAAGGCAAGGTCTATTTCCTAAGACAAACCTAATTTTACATATTGTAATAATTGCAATAATAATATTTATCAGGAATTTACTATATGCTGCCTTGGCCAGTGTGATTCAGTTGGTTGGAGCATCGTCCCATACACTGAAAGGTCACCAGATTCCGGTCAGGGCACATGCCCAGGTTGTGGGTTCCATCCCCAGTCAGGTGTGTATAGGAGGCAACAGATCAATGTTTCTCTCTCTCTTCTCTCTCTCTCTCTCTCTCTCTCTCCTTCCCTCACTCCCTTCCTTCCTCCCACTGTCCCTCCCCCTGTCTATTTGAAATTAAAAAAATCTGCTATATCCAAGCAATTTATATATTTTATCTTATTAATCCTCTCTACAGCCTTGTGTGGTGGGTGTGATCCCAACTTTAAAGATGAGGAAACAAGGTCACATAGGCAGTAGTTGCGAAGTCACTGGTCTGAGTCTGGAACTGGTGGTCTCAGTCTTCGTGCTTCATGTCCCTAATGAAGAAGGAAAGGCATTGTGAGGTGATGTGACTACCTAATGCCATACAACAGATCACTCAGAGCAAACAGGCACAGCAAGCAGGGCACAAGAGTTAGAGGACGAAGCATTAGGTCCTGGTTTCACTTTCAGACAACACTGGGTACCAAGAATTTTTCTTTGGAATTCAACTTTTAACAAATACAGCTTAAATAGTTCACAAAGTGAGAGAGAAAGAGAGCTTATTATTTACGCTTTGATTAGTAAGAGCAGGGGTCCTCAAACTACGGCCCGCGGGCCACATGCAAATACAAATATTGTATTTGTTCCCGTTTTGTTTTTTTACTTCAAAATAAGATATGTGCAGTGTGCATAGGAATTTGTTCATAGTTTTTTTTAAAACTATAGTCCGGCCCTAACAATGGTCTGGGGGACAGTGAACTGGCCCCCTGTTTAAAAAGTTTGAGGACCCCTGAGTAAGAGGATGTTATGTGTGTAATCCAAGAGGTTTTCAAAACATATTTCTGGCTCTTCTAGTCCTATTGATGCGAGTGTTCTAGTCCCCATCCTCCAAATTTTACTTGTAAGGATGGTTAAAAACATGGAGC